ATGCCCAGGGCTGCTCCTCTCCTATGGATCTCACCTCAGCACCCACTTCTGCAGTGATGTTCTCCTGCCTTGACCCAGGCCTGTTTAGCTTCAATATTGTTGTCCAGTGTTTTGTCTTCATCTGAGTTAGGACCCTGGAGCAGGTCTTTGTCTTTCTATTTGGTTTTATAATGCACCATGTAGGCTTAAGCTATAAATCCAGGATTTTCAGCCGTGAGTGCCTGTAGTTAGGCACTTATTTTCAGTCCTGTAGTGAAGTGTTAGATGCACCCAGCTTGTTGAGTTGTGTGTAACCCCCTAGTCAAATCAAACTGTAGTAGCTCATGCTTTTCACTGTGGAGGTTTTGGGTTTGATGCCCACTAAGTCAGCCAAGATGGTGGTGGTCCCACATATCTCCCTGTGTGCTGATCTGGATGTATATCTATTATCCAGCAATTGCCATTAACAGTTGTCCATGGTGGTATCTGAGTTATCTCTATAATTAGCATAGGCTATAACAGTGATATCTCAGATACCTCTGTGGGTAAATGCTGACTCTCAACAGAATCATAGAAGATTAGGGTTGGTAGAGACCTCAAGAGGTCATCTAGTCCAAACCCCTGCTCAAAGCAGGACCAATGTAACCCACACACCTCCTGGGTGTGGTTTTCTGTCCCATCTAGTGGCACTGAGATCACTCAGAGTTTAAAATTATTCTGATCTACAGCCCTAGCTAAGAAGCAGTTGGTGTTTAGCTCATGTGGTAGAGGCTCATGCCCTAGGCTCCAGAGGTCCCACGTTCAATCCTGTCCGCCAACGACCGGAGTCTGGCAGTGTTACACAACCCCACCTAAATCATTGCAGCCAGGGCTTTGTCAAGCTGGGCCTTAAAAACCTCTAAGGAGAGATATTCCACCACCTCCCTAGGTAACCCATTCCAGTGCTTCACTACCCGCCTAGTGAAATAGTTTTTCTTAATATCCAACCCAGACCTCTCCCACTGCAACTTGAGACCATTGCTCCTTGTTCTGTCATCTGCCACCACTGAGAACAGCTGATCTCCATCCTCTTTGGAACCCCCCTTCAGGTAGTTTAAGGCTGCTATCAAATCCCCCCTCACTCTTCTCTTCTGCAGACTAAATAGCCCCGGTTCCCTCAGCCTCTCCTCATAAGCCATGTGCCCCAGCCCCCTAATCATTTTCATTGCCCTCCGCTGGACTCTCTCCAATTTGTCCACATCCTTTCTGTAGTGGAGGTCCCAAAACTGGATGCAATACTCCAGCTGTGGCCTCACCAGTGCTGAATAGAGGGGAATAATCATTTCCCTCGGTCTGCTGGCAATGCTCCTACTAATGCAGCCCAGTATGCCGTTAGCCTTCTTGGCAACAAGGGCACACTGCTGACTCATATCCAGCTTCTCGTCCACTGTAATCCCCAGGTCCTTTTCTGCAGAACTGCTGCTTAGCCAGTTGGTCTCGAGCCTGTAGCAGTGCATGGGATTCTTCCTTCCTAAGTGCAGGACTCTGCACTTGTCCTTGTTGAACCTCATCAGATTTCTTTTAGTCCAATCCTCCAATTTGTCTAGGTCACTCTGGACCCTATCCCTACCCTCCAGTGTATCTACCTCTTCCTCCAGCTTAGTGTCATCTGTGAACTTGCTGAGGGTGTTATATAAAACTGATATGTGGCTCTCAGGAATGGAGGGTCCCAGTCCAGATGGCCTCCTACAGAAGTAAACATTTGTTTGTAATTTTGTATTTATTTTTAGCCATAACTAGACTGTGATGCGAAACAAAGCCATGTGGTTCTTATCCCCTAGCAAAATACAGCCAATAGCATCGCAGAGCACGTCCATTGCCAGGAGAACCACACAGCCCACGGGTTGGCCTAACAAATGGATCCCTTAGTCCTGTTACTGCTTCCTAAATGAAG